CACATTATAACGCCCCCACGGCTGAAAGAGCTATCATGTTTGGTGTGACAGGGATTCGAACCTGCGACCCTCAGATTGCGAGTCGAGAGCCTTAACCACCTGGCCATGCCGGGCCGACTATAAGAAAGAACGACCTGCTTAATTGGAAGACTCAGCTACTTAGAATTCATTGTCTAATTTCAGATGAAAACTATAAACTACTAGTGAAGTTATTTCAAATATATTACTGCCTAACATCATAATCTATAAAAATGTTGTGTTCTTCTAATGGTCATTTTACTGGTAAAGAAAATATGTAGCTCTGATTTCTTCGTTAACAGAACCTAAGAGAAGAATGTGGAAGATTGGAAGAACGAGTACATTATCTGGAACAGCAGAATACCGTTTTATGTAGTCTGCTTAAACAAAAACAGCAACCAATAGAGGTAAAAAACACATTTATTTAATTATAACTTATAACTAAATTAAGTTGAATCATTTTTAAATACTAACAGGGAAAATCTTAAATATTACTATTGGTGAGTAATCTAACTAATACATTTTAAAATAAGCTATTTCCTTCTATATTAAATTTCTTTCTGAATAACCATTTTTGACTATCATTTCAGCTCTCCACTGTGCGATTTTCATCAATCAGCGTAAGAAAAAGACACTTTTGCTTGTTCTTAAGCGCAAACCTTAAATGTGCTATTTTTCACTCTGCTAACCGTGGTATGGAAACTAGATAAGTTTATAAGCCTCAGACTTACTGCTGAGCCACCTGGTTCGGATGGGGGCAAAACATCTACTGCTTTCATTTACGTCGCAACACTACTGAATTACTTCATTGAGATGCTGGTTAATAAAGACAAAACTACATTACTTCAGTAACTCACAAAAAGCAGCCTCTGCAACAAAACGGAGAAAATGACTCTAAGTGATTTAGAATAATTTCTTACTCTTATTTGTTCAATCTTTTATTTTTCTACAGATTGGTTTTTCTCCTTTGTGCATACCGACTTCAACTAGCCAAGGATTTGATGACGAGCTACTACAACCACCTCCGGACATGTCTCAAAATGAGCTGTGGACCACCTGTTTTCTCAACAGCACGTCTTCCAATGATGGACCCATGAGTTCCAAGCACATCGAACAAAATGAAGTTACCAGCAGTTCGGATAACGCAGGTGATACAGAAGAAGAAGAAGAAATCATTAATACTGTCCGTTGGAAAAATTTCAAAAGAAAGATTTCTAAAAGTCAATCCGATGTGCAGTTGGCAAAACATACAAACAAAACAGAGTTCATGAATTTTTCAGGATACAGTGACTCAGGTAACCTCTGGAAAGTTCCACAACAGCAACGGAAAGCCATCCAACATTCCAAAGAACATTGTAATGCATTGTTCAAGCCAACTTTTGAGAAAGAACTTCTTAGTGTTGACAATTTATCCCCTTTGATCTCTTCTAAGAAACTATCAGTGCCTAGCCATCGCACAGTCCAAAGTGTGTCAGCTAAGCTCACTCAGCCAATTAAACAAATAGATGACATTGTGATTAACAGTTCTCAGCGGAGATTTAATTCTAAAGCTCTTCCATATTCCACATCTTCTGTATACACGTGTGACGATTCATCTTTATCTTACTTGCATGTTGATAATGTTGCTCCAGAAGTCGAAAATAATCTAAAATTTCAAAGTGTGGTACCACCACCTTGCTCAACTCTGGACTATGACTTCCAAATGTTTTGTACTGAAAATCAAAGAAACGATCCGTCCAAGCTCACGAAACATTCAATATGCAAAAAACGTAACTATTTTCCGCGGGAAATTTCTCGAGAATCTTCTGCCTTAGAATCTGTTGATGTATCGAAATCTGTGGAACAAAGTACCAATACCAACCAATGTACAAACACTGTGGTTCGAAAAAGTCATTCCATCAATGATACTGGCTTGCATAACGTTTCCCAGGCAATATCAGGTACAGAATTTCAATTATATAAATATATTTTTTATCAAAATGGTAGTAAAACATATTTTTAAATATATTTTTTATTCTACATTATATTAGAATTCAATAGCTTTTTTCTGCAACTATTATGAAGTTATTTTGTCAGTTACTCTGTAAACATTTTATTTCTTTAGATACCGAATTCTCTGGTTTACTTCATTCCAATGAAAACTCCTCTTCAAGGATTGAACCTGATCACATTAGTAAAGACGAAGGATATTCCACAATGTCCAGTGATATCCAAGTAGAGATCATTGAAAACGAAAAGCCTAACTCACAAGATGCAAAATCATTTTCGAGTAATACATTAAAACATTTTGTAAAAAAATTGAACGCAAACATTTTAGCTAGTTACCACAAAGCATCGATAGAAAAAGACGGAGAAATGGTGTCTTCCTCAGACAGTGGACTCGGTCTCAATCAGTCTTTACAAACCCATTTAATGGAAACGGTTAAGACCAATTCTTTGACGGCTCAGTTGAAGACTACATTTGAACGAACTAATTCTTCTATTCAAGGAAAAGATAAACTTAAAAAAACTTATAATAGTTCTTCGCAAAAAAGTGAGAGAAATTCAGAAATAAATATCAACTCGGAAAAGATAAAGGAGAGATATAAACCTGATGGAAATAATACTGAAGCAAATAATAAAGACAGTGCATTAAATGTTGTTGCAGATTGCTATGGTGTAACTAGGTTGTACACCCCACAGTCAGTTGAAATTGTTGATCTTCTTAGCGAAAATAAGAAACTGTCCAAGATTAACCTATCTACACATAACAGCAACGTTCATCTTCAGGCATCCAATTACTCACACAATAATAAAGAAATTATAAGCTCTAGTGTTAAGAGCGTTGGTGAGATTGCAGATCCTAAGCCCACAGAATTATCAAAGCTTGAAAGAGTAATCTCAAAGATTTCGGGTTCTAAGTATCCTCATAGAATAGATTATCCTCCCCACGACAGTCTCTATTCGTCAGTTGCAGCTCGTTACATGGCTATCAGTCGGACTCTTTCAGACTCCGTTTTGTACGTCAGTAAAGTAAAACAATCCTCTGTGTGCAGTAATGATATAGCGAATTCAAGGCTCAACTTCCTTCCTTTGGAACGACGTGTTTCACTGAGTGAACTTCAGTTCCCAGAAAGTCTAACCACTGGCAATAAGGATAAAGCAGAGAAAGGAAACACCGTGCCATTATTAGTACAGGTTTGGATCGTTAAATTAATTCTACAATTCCCCTTATGTTTAGAGCTAGCTTTTCTAAAGTAAAATGGGGTGTTATTCATGTCAAATAATTTTTAATTCAAGGTTTACTAAACACAAATAGTATTTTTGTTTGCTTTGTTGTTATAAGCCTTGAGATCGACCATTGAGCCAATGTGGGGGGTAGGGATGGGGCACATATATTTGATTCCTTCAGATAACACCTTGTGTTATTTGTGTTTAATATGGATCCTTTATTAAGTTTATTGTCTTTCAGTTAGGGGCTTCACGCTTTTGAATCCTTTCATGCATGTTTGTAATTTGCATCACTGGGATTTGCGTATATTAGCTGACAAAAAAGAACGAGGGTTAACATCATCATTTTTGTAAGTATTTGGTCGTCATAAATTATCTTGCAATATTATTCATGCATGTGACAGTTTTCATCAAAATAAGAGTATTACATATCTCATACGGTTTTTTTTTCTTCAAACGTCAACCAAGTCTGAGAACGTAATTACTACTTAATAGGTAAATAGATTAACGTTAAAACATTATCACCTATTCTGATTGTGGATTTCCTTTTGTATATCTGCTGTATATTGGAAACCAAGTATTATATGTACTGTTAATGCTTCGTACAAATGAAAACCATTGTAGATGTTCTTATCATGTATTTTTTACAAATCTCTATTTATTACTTTCATTATAACTGTGCAAAACAGTGTAAAAATGTGTGAAACATACGGAAAAAGAGCATCTAAGCAAATCTCTAAGTTGTCGAAAAGCCTTCTTCTCTTACCGTTGTTAATCAGAACAAGTGAAATATGTTTTATCTAATATAAATAAGTGCTCTAGAGTAACTAAATGATATTCTAGGTAATAATAAGTATTTATTAAGTGGCAAAGTAACATTCAATGACAAACGTTATTATTTACGAAGTTTTCTTTACTACACAGCATATTCAAACATGGAGAAGACTAGAGGGGTCTCCAAGTTGCAGTGACTCTTTAAGTTCTGTTCACTCCTCTACTTCCGAAGTCACAAACAGTGAAGAATTTGAGGATTTGAATCCAACTAGCCTGAAGTGCTCAAGGGTTAGTCTGGTTATAATATATCGCATTTGAAACATTCTATTAACCGTCACTTTTCACAACTTAGATACGTATTTATTACACTATAAACAACTTTTTTTAAATATGACTTTACAATATTTTCTCACGAATATTATAAAGTTAGACTTTAATAATTCCAGGAGATATTTAGCGACACTTAATTAAAAAACAAACTATACCATATTTATTCAGGGCACCGAACTTATCAGCAGTATATGGTTAGAACGAAGAATAAGTTTGTTTGTTTGTTTCGGATTTCACTCAAAGCTACATGAGGGCTATCTGCGCTAGCAGTGAAAGACTAGAGGGAAGGCAACTAGTCATCACCACCCACCGCCAACGCTTGGGCTACTATTTTACCAACGAATAATGGACTTACCACCACTTATAACATCCCACAGCTGAAAGGGCGAGCATGTTTGGTGGGGCGAGGATTCGAACCCGCGACCCTCAGGTTGCGAGTCAAGCGCCCTAACCACCTGGTCATGCCGGGACACGAAGAGTAAAACAGTACACGGAGTGTGAAATGAGCTGTAATACTAAGTTTCCTCTCAATACTCTTAATTATAATTTTTCAAGACACTTCTAGTCCTATACGAGAATTTACTTATCTGCTGTTTGTATTTTCAAATAAGTAGCCGGAATTGACACATTTGGTAATAAGCTGATTTTCATGATCATAAGTTTCACTTGAATAGTCTACATCACCAAAGAGAAAATACTACAGTTTTCGTATATCTTTCATGCAAATGTTTACAAGAGGTGTAAACAATGTTACGTGCTCTGAGCGCTTGTGTATCTGTCACGTGCGTATTACAGTTTTTATACATTATAGTATCGGTATTATGCACTTCGTTTTGCTTGGTGATCAAACTATCAAAACATTGTGCAGTTTTAATTTTTTTATTTTTTATTTATTCGAATAAAATACTAACACACACCTAAATAATATATTCTCATTCAGTATATATAAAACGAAATATTGCTATTTTGTTGATGTAAACGTTAAAGAAAATTACAAAGTTTCGGCTGTGAGTGGAAATAATAAATATAAAGTTATTTAGTAATTAAACATAACCATTTTAACCAGAATCTTAAAAGAAACCCATAACAGAAGTAATGATAAGCTGTTTGAGCACCCGCGGTTTAGAATTGTTTCCTAAACATTTGTATTAATAACAGTAACAAACAACAGTGCTTCTGATAAAGAGTTGATAATGAAATAGTAAAGCATTGAAGCCATAGCAAAAATGTTACAATATTATACATCGAACCTTTCAGGATAACGATTTATGCAGTGCCAGCGAAGATGAGTATGATATTCCAGAGCATCACAAGTTTGTTCAACAATGGCTCCAACTGGAAGGCGAACAATTAATGAAAGACTGTCAGGTACGTTGGATAACTGAAAAAAACAATGCCTTTCAGCAGAAATACATTTCTTTACGCGGTATATAACTTGAAAAATTGTTTTATGGGAAGAACGTTTTAATCTTTTGTTGGAGAGAACAGTTGAAAAGTTAAAAAACAATCCATAAATGTAAACAAAGTATGCAATATACTCGCATTATATTGTTGTGAAGTTATTCAAAAGTATTCAACAAATTACTTCATCTGTTTGCTCATCGTAAATATTGATATAAAATGCTAAAACATGGGATTATTAATTTCAATTTACAGAGACTGTACACTGTCGACAAGAAAGAAACTGGAGAATGGACATTCCAGCTTTATTTGGAGGATGTCATGAAATCTACAAGCGAGAGTGAAGATAACAACATCGAAGCAGTTATACCTTCAAACAATACAAGTCATTTGGTACTTGGAAGTATAAAAGAAGAGAAAGAAATGGAAGATGAGCCCTTTAAAACTATATTAGAGCTTTGTGCCTCTGATGTATCAAAGCTTCATCTTAGCAAAACAGGACCAAGTAAAACCAACGATATTACAGAATTAACTTATTCCGCAGATAAACATCACCACGAGAGCTTTGCTGGAGTGTCTTTTAGAAAAATAGATAAAGAAACTGCTTCCATGAGTGGATATGCTAGCTCTGACTGCTCTAGAGAAATAGACCGGAAACGAGCTACTATAGCGAAACGTAATTGGCAAACGACGGAAACTTCATATTCTGATAAAACAGAAAATGGATGTATACCTGTAGCACCGGTTTCAGTTTCTAAGCATTCCACTGTCATTCCAAGTGAAAAGCTTCTTTCTGAGAAAAGAACTTCACAGACCTTTCAAAGAAAGGGACATTTTTCACAGATCAAGGAAGACTCCGCTCCAAAAACACTTCAGTGTCGTCATTCATCTTCTCATAAGGATGTCTATAATAGTTCTTACTCAGAACGCTCAGAAATTTGTGAGAAAAAAGAAGAATGCCATTTAGAGTCGAATTCTAATGATTGTGAAGAAACAGAATTAGCAAAATTAAATGAACGTTCCATGCCAATAAACTCTTGTTTGCCACATATAGAAAGCAAAAACGACAGTAGAGATTTAGCTCAAAATAAAGAATACTCAGCGTTGTCAAAACCTGTAACTCAGAACAGCACAAAACACGCCAAAGTAAAGCCCGACATTCTTCATAAACCTTGCTCCTTAACGCCTGGTAATTCCCGAATTCCTCTTCCAGGAAACCAAAAGAATGTAGAATGTAGGCAACAGATAAATAACAGAACTAAAATTCCCGTTTGTATTAAACCCACTGTTACTGTTTCGAAAAAAGAGAATAAAAGCTTAGGTGGTCACAAACAAAAAATGTCACCGAACAGAAATGTGGCATATACTAAAGCGAAAATAAATCCTCACGAAAAACATAAAAAGACATCAAAAGACTCAAAGAATATAGCAATGAAACAAGAAGAAAAGATTGAAAAAGAAATCAGTCAAAATATATCACAACGAATAAAGAAACCTCTAATCAAAAACCACAAAAATCAAAACTATGATAAAGCACCCAACAGGAGTACCTTCGAAAGTCCTGAAACTAAAAGCCAGACTGCTTTCCCTAATCATCAAAGTGTTAGTGTAGAATTAGAGCAACTTTCATTTGAGAGTAGTGCCTTGTCTGTAGCACAGAAAATTCAGATTCTTAACAATTTACTGGACGAGAGCGAAAATAGCTCAATTTCTCGTCTCCATAATTCAGATTTTGTTGAAACATGTAGTGTGTCGCCAGGCATTGGGCTAGAAGTTGATGGAAATGATAAAGAAGGTTGTAGGAGTTCTTGGATTCATGTGTCTCCGGAAGTAGATATTCTTAGCCAGGTATGAACGTATAGGTTTAGAAAGTCAAATTATATTTTAATGAAGGAATTTAGAAATAAAACGTTGTGCGCGATTGTCTCTTATCTTACAGCATGTCCAATAATATTATGAGATCTAGGTCACATGATTAGAAAACGATATCTAGAAACGTATATAAAGTAATTTACCTTGAGTAAGGAAGCACGTTACGCTAATGTAATAATAAATTGGTAAACAATGATCTATAAGCATAATAAAGTGATTTAATATAGGGGGAACATACGTGTTTCGACAGAACATTTGTTCTGTCTTCTAAAGAAAACAGACCAATGCTCTGTCGAAACATGTTTTACGTTTTTCCAAAAATAAATTTCTTTATTATGCTTATAAACTATTTTACAACTTATTATTAAGGTAATTTACCTAATGGTTTTAACTTGTATTTCGTTAACTTTTACAATGTTCGTGCTTGGCACATTTTAGGATTAATTCCATGTGTTATTTTAAACTTTTGATGTTTCATATAAAATAAAAGGACACATATGTTTAAAAAACAAGACTCAATAACAATTAAAAGTTTTTATTTATTTATTTGTTTATTTCTAAAATAATGTTTTATGGAAATATTTGACCTTAATTAACTATTTTTAATATTTCAATAGATTTAGTATTTTATTGTTTAGACAACTCCAACTTTTATATTCCAAACAACTTATGATTATCAAATCTTAACAATATATATTTATTTGTTACAACCAACGACTCAGCTTGAACAGTCTTCTCCTGGTAGCAGCGAAGAAAGTGAAGAAGATCTCCAAGAGAAAGAATCCTATCACGAGGAGAAGCTAAATAATGGTTGCAATTCCGGTATGCCAAGCTTATTTTATTTATATTTATATATATATATATGAAATAGATGTTCCCCATTTATAACATAGGAAAAATAAACTCTATGAATAAATATTAAACAAATTAACCATGCAATTTCGAAGAAGAAACTTCAAAAACGTGAGAAATATATAATTAACGGTATATATCAAAATGCACTTTTAATATGTTATTAAAGTTTACTATTTTGCTCGTTGTTAAGCACAAAGCTGCACGATCGGATATTTCTGATATGCCCACTGCAGAGATCGAACCTTGAATGTTAATGATATAAGCTCTTAAACTTTCCGTTGTCATGATTAGTAGCCTATAAGAGCATCTAAGTCTAATTAAAAATCAATAGCTAATATTATTAATAACTGGATATTTATAACTAACTAGATTTTATTCCACATATTGACTGCTAATCTGCTGCCATTTTCAGAGAAATCCTTGAAAGGACTATTTGTGTTGATAGAAGCCAGAATTCGATATCGTATGTGGTGTTTTATCCACTCGACTCAGAATAAAACCGAGGATAAATTCCAGCTATTACCAACACAGAAATAGTCCTACTCATGACTTCCGTGAAAAATTGCAGCTGATTGGCATCCAAAACATAGTGCATAGGGTAAAACTAATTAGCAATTACTATCTAGTTTTCGAAATAGTTACTAACTAATAATTAGACTTACGTTATCGTACGGGATACTAACCGTCATAACGACTGATATACAATCACCACAATCTTACCGTAAAGCTTACTGCTGAGCCAACTAAGTCATGGTAAAAATTTGCAAATGTTATTTTGAAAAAGGATTTGTTGTTAATTGTATTGTTCATTTCTTATTACATTTAGAACTATGCTAGTATTGGCGTTACGATACATAGTTTGTCGACAATACAATGAATAAATTACTATGGAAATTATAATTTTAGATTCGTTTTAAGTTGTCAATAAATGGTGAATGTTAAAATATCTAACTTCTAAAAGTTAGCTGAGAAACAATAATAATTGTCTTTAAAGTATCATACTGTGCGGGTGCTTTTTAATTTTCAAGCATTATTACTGTGTATGAAAAGAGGTTTTGTGGAAAATTTCATCATTTCGTTAATGTTTTAATTAGATATATTAATTTTCATCTATGAAATATAAAATAAATTATTCGTATCTTTAAGGGATTTTTCCAAAGTCACCAGAAAAACAGGATTTAACAAAGAAATGCTTAAAAGATAGGACGAGTTGTCGTTATGCCAGTAAGGAGGGAGAGAAAGAAGTTCTTATTCAAAACGTCAAAAGTGATTCATTTTCTATTGTGTCTAACAGTCCTATCCGTTCAAAAGCCATTGGCATGACAGATAGTTGCATGTCAGTTCTCTCACAAGAAGAGTGTTCTTCCGAACGTGTCTCTTTTAGCGATTCCTGTGCCGAGAGTTTCTGCTCATCAACCATAAGTCTTGATTTGTGAATTCAGTTGAAAAAATGGTGCAGATAAAATCATATAAGAATCGTGAACAATTTTTTCTCGACGAAGAATTCTAAAATTTGGATTTTTATCAGGACTTATTAATTTTGTTTTTGTTACATATTCTTATGTTAAGTTAGTAGTTTTGTTAACATAAATATTTTGGTTTACAACATCAAGAACATTGAATTTTTTAGAAATAAGATGAATAATCGTTTGTTTTTTATTCATAGTCATAAGGTAGTAAACAATTATATATATACTTAAATATTTATATATATATATATTGAGTTTTCTAGAAAGAAAGAAATGTGTACTTAAATATAAATATGACTGAATATTTGATTTATTCTACTTTATTTTAAGATCGATTTTTCTCCAAAAAGTGTTGTATTTCTTGGACAAACTTCAACAGTACTTAACGCAGTTAAATTTGTGTAGGTCATGTGTAAAATCTATATGTTTATCTTGGTAATTTAAGAAAGTAGTTATATGATTAATTTTAGTTTTAGAGATATTTTGGATATTTAATTTTTATGGTAAATTTAACGACTATCGTTATTTGTACGTGTGTTACTTCAATTGGTGTTTCATATCATACGGTTTTTCAATCTACTAATCAGTTGAACTTTAATCTTAATTTGTTTCATTCTGATTACGCTACAAAAATCTGTTTCATATTTATATATATGTTTTTACAATTATATATCTCTTATAAATTAAGCGTGGCTCAAGAAACGCAGGAAAGTAATATTAACATTTGTTTAATGTTGTCAGTGTAGTGAACCTATACATGTAGTTTGCATTTCTGAATGGACAATCAACATTAAAAGAAAAGAAAGTGGAGAGAATAGTTAACTTACATAACCCATGATGAAGTTTCTCCTGGTATTTTTCTCAAAACGTTGAATGTTCAATCAAAAGTATAAACCACATCTACTACAATATTTGACTATAAAAGAGTTAAAGAAAGAGATCCCTACATTTTTTCAGGTTTATTCATTTTAATACTTACTTATCTCTTTATTTTAAAATGTTTCAGAATCACCAAAAAAAATTGAAAGCTTTAATCTCAATATTAGAGTCATTTTTAGAGCCGTTGATGATAATATTCTTATCTATTACTTATTAACAATTAACATAAGTTAAGATTGATGATAATAAACAGAATCAAACAAGTAAAGAAAGATGCAATGCAGGTTACCCTACATAACACTAGATTAATTACAAGTCGGTGTTTAAAAATGATTCGAACATCTGAGAACATACATTACAGATATTCAAAAGACAAGTCAATATCTCTTCTCTTCTGAAGTTGATAATAATAATAATAATGCCCTAATGTGAACAAACAAAACTCTGTATTTACGTGTTATTAATAATTTATATCCAATCACTAATGACATTATTAGAAATTACGGTAAGATACACATTTTTATTTGAGTGTCAACTTCGTGGAGGATCCATCTGTATTGGATATCTATATTATAAAGTTATGCATTTGAAAAATATGGATTCGCTGATGTGAAATCAAACTTAATCTACCCTGTTCTAAAATATTCTGGAAATATACAAATTTTACCCATTTGACGTAATTGAAAAAGATAAAAGTAACATATAATTATTACAAATTATATAATAAATAATATATATATATACAATGGTTTCACCAATAAATGCACTAAAGGTTTCACTGTTATTTTAAATGCTTGTTATAATACAGGTTAAGAATGACAAGTACGTTGATAAAAAGACGAACATATCTCTTTACAATTGGTTATATATATATAAATAGACTGACAGTTTTCACTCAATGCATTTTAATTCTCTTCTTAACTCTATATTTCTTTCAACGCTGTTTAATGTTTTTGTAACCTACGAAAATCATATAATCTGCAAATGCTTTTATTTATACGTTACCATAGTCAAAGGTGAGTGAAATTCTTCATGACGCTTCTTACATCTTGGTAGGATGATTTCTTGATGTAAATAATTTCTTAGACGAAAAGTAGCTTAATATTATAAAATATGCTGTGATGTTTTTTTGTTTGTTTTTCACAACAGTAAAACTCATAAGGAGCAGACCAGCAAGGGATATTAAGAAGATAATCCCTGTCAAACAAGTGTTTTGACCCTGTAATCTTTGACACTGTACAGGGGTAGGGCCACACCAGGTTAATCCAACCTGGTGTTTCCTTGCTGGAAGCGATATATGAGTGACCCCAGTGGAATTTGAACTTCTGATATTTAACTCTGTACAAAAGAGATTTTGGTGGAACAACTTCTCTCATTCATTAGGAATGACTTCCACCAATTTTTCATTTACATCTACAAATTACCTCCTACCATATCTTTATCCAGATAATGCTTGAGTCTTTCCCTGCTTTTTTTTCAAGAGCATTGATCACTCACACCCAGTTGTTTGAGCTCCATTTTCTACTGCAACTAGCAAATCTTAGAGACATCGGCTCGGAATGTTCTCATCAGTTTAGAGTATTTTGCAGCTTTGAAATCAACTGATTTCATCAACTCTGTAAGTTCCACCAAAACGAATTATATAATATGTGCATAACTTTCATAATTTAATTTTAGTCTGAGGGAAATTGCTTGATCCTACATCTTGATTCAACAAAGGTTCTTAATGCGGATAACTAGTTTAAATTCTCATTGATATTTTTGATTTGTAATTTTTCGTGTTTTGATTTTTACATCTTTACTCACTTTCTCAATACGTTGATTGTTATTAAGTGATGGATAAGAATTCTTAAATTTCTGACTTTAATAAATTTTTTCGAGATTTACTGCTTGGGACATTACAAAAACAAATTTTTTTTGGTAATTCACTACATATTTAAACTGAAGTGTGCATAAAAATTAGATTAATACAAATATAATATCTACTTAGACTTCTTAATATTTGTACATTGTGAATTCTAATCAAAGGAGGCTAGTAAATGTGGTCACCCACAGTTTGTATATATACATATATGTGTGTGTGTGTGTGTTTGAGTGTATATATACATACAAATTCTGTATAACAAAATTGACATTGTATCAAATAGTATTCACAACACAGCAATGTGTAGCTACATATATTGTAGATGAACATGCCCAAAATTCACTAAGGGTGGTGAATAGCCCTCGTGAAAAGAGTAATATATCTTTTAAAAATATTATTCTACGAAAACTACGGAAATTACAATTAAAATGTTTTATCCACCACATAAGAACGATGTGAGCTTCTGTTAAAATGCCAACTCTTAGTTAATAGTTAAATGGATCAGATTGTGAGTTAAAACACGAATACAAAAATTAAAATGAATGATAATAGAATTATACTACCTTGTTTGACTAAAATATTCTAGTTTGTCGTAAAATATAGACATTGCAATGCATATATTAAATTTACCAGAATTATTACATGACCAGAAGATAATAAAGTGCCAAGACGAAGATATCTCACTAAAACGACCTCTCTCACTGCCCTGTGTATGACATTACTGTATGTGTTTATACATTTGGGCTCAAAATATCCTAATGGTTTGAGCAGTTCTTGTTCCTGTTTCTACTAGCAAATAATGACTGTAAATAAGATCAAGAATAAGCCTCCGCCTGAAAGAGATTTTGTACCAAATGTACTGTTTTCTGCAGGTGTTATTCTTCAACAGCAGAAACAATAAATGTAAATATAAACTTTGAAATAACCCAGAAAACATAAACTTAATTTGTTTGTACATTTATAATAAATAAACTTTATTGAGCTCTTTCACTAATTTGTGTTGATCTTTTAGTGTTAGGTGGAATATTCGATATTATGTATTCAGACATATATGTTGTGTATATCGTAGGATAATATGTTTTAGTACAAAGTCTTGTACCATGGTAGAATGGTGATGACTCTAGTAACATAACGCTATGTTCTCTATGATAATACCTATTTGTTTCTGTAAAAATCATTCTACGATTCAAGTGAAAACCTTGATTTTTTTTCTCTAGAAATTGTACTTTTTCAATCTGTGATAGACAGTTATGTTGAATTGTATTTGAAAAATCCAAATAAATTACTCCTCATTGATTTGGATTCATTGTATGTGAACATTCTTTCAACACTTATGAATATAGGATAGATACATAAAAACAAAGTTGTTAATATGTTCAGAAACCTCTTTAGATTCGTTTTTGCATACTTCCCCTTTAACATGGATTATCTTAAAGGGTCTTATAACTCATATACATAGATACAAATTGTTCTACTTCGATATAATGATATAATTTATGTATAATAATATAAAACATTCTAATACTTCTGTTTCAGTGTAAATATATCTTTTATCCGCAATGACATGTAACTTACATTTTCGATTTATTGGGAACCTTACCACATCATTATAGTCCATATCATTTTATCCGGATGTATTCTAGCTGACAATAGTCCAGGAGCATAGTTCTCACTCCATAAAATTCCGTTATAAGACTGTCATGTTCAAAGTCCACTTCCACCCATGGTGGCTAAGAGGTAAGGCTTACAATACTAAAAATCGGTTTTCGATACTTGTGGTTGACACAGCATAAATAACCCATTATCTCGCTTTGTGCTAAGTGACACACAAGCAACCAAAGAACATCACTCCTCCCCGTGAGCCTTCCATAAGCCATCTAGTGTACGAGAACGATAGATTCCCAGCGCCCATTTTAAGTTTCAACAGTCCAATCACACAGTAATACAGGGTTTACGATGAGCGAGATAATTACGAATTGATGTAGATAGGATTCGCTTAGAAGCTAGCTAGCTTTCTCTTTGGCCACACACACTGTTTTCCACCGTTGAAGTTAGGTAATATTTTCGTAAAAATACTAATGTCCGATGATAATTCACTGAAATTAAATGATTTGTAACGTTCGAAACTTATAAGTATTCCTGGTCAAATATCTTAGGTTTTCCGACTGCTAATCGTTATAAAAATCACAGTTATAGTTTTCGAAGTTTATAGCACATTGATTATAGCGAACTACTAATATACACACTCTTTGGCGCGTCGCGCTGGTTGTACTTATAGGCGTGGGAAGGTTTTCTAGAAAATTCAGATTACATAACAATACGGAGCTATATTTAAACGTTTACGTATATATATATATATATTGTTGATTCTTATTCTAGAGAATCTTCTACAACTTTGGAAAATAGGCGGGAGTTTCGCAC